CTTCATAATCAAATTGATGAATTATGTTTTTCCATCCTGAACAACCAGGAGCTTTACAGCAGGGTGAAATGTTTTCAGATTCCATAGTTTCATAATCATGAGCATCAGCAAAAATAGCAAATGCCAATAAATATGAAAAAAAAGCAACTAAAAATAAATTAATTCGTTGATTCATTTTATTAATATCAATAAGTTCAAATGTTGACAAAAATCTCTTTGAATTTACATTAAAAATACCGAAAATTTTAGCTCCTTATATACTTGTAATTTATTATTGCTGCTTGGTATTATAATAATCATTTTGCATAAATTATGATCCAAGAAAACGACAATATATATTGTATAATAATTATCATACTCATCCCTCAGAACTATCATGATGTTAAGAATAATCGCGAAATCACAACCATAAACGCATTACATATCGGAAATTTTGAGTACATGCGTATTTGTTGTAGATGATGATCTATAATAAAGATTTTTAAGTGATAATGCACAAATAAAATTCATTATCTTATGCGTTTAATACATATTTCCTAGTTAAAACTTATTTAAATATCGGCATACATTATTGTCTAAATAATCTAATGATCAGTGATTATTACATGATTTGTCGATCAAATTCATGTTTCAGCCAAATTCGTATATTTTGATCTATCATCGATAACTCTCTATCTAGTAATTGAAACTTGATGATTTTGATACCATTCGAATCCGCTCATTGAGAAGATTCTAATAGTATCAAAATACCCATATTGAAAATAAATCTAAGTTATCATGGTAGGTCAAAATATACGAATTTGCGAATTTGGTCGACAAATCCGATATTTGCTGCATAAAATATGGTCGTACAAGTAATTATCGCATAATTGCTCTAAATACTGATCCGAAAGGCTCCGAATAGAATCAATCAACACAAATTACGAGAAAGGAGATTGGAAGTAGGTTCCGAACTGTTCCAAAAGATGGCTTTTATACTAAGTTAGATATAGGACTGCGCTTTTATGTACAAGATGTAGCATGGTTATAAATTTAGAATGCAAAATACTCGCATAAATAAGAAAAATATATGCATAATTGATGATTTATTGCAGCATAAAATCATTATCCCTGACCGGGGCAAAATCGCCATCAAAAAATTTCAAACATCACGTGATATAAGCTCATGCAACTAAAAATTCGGTACTGTACATTAACTTGAATAAAATACAAACGATAAAAAGTTTTTTGCGAATTAAAAAAAATAGCGAAAATAATGCTAATAAAGAAGAATAACATCAATCATTATTTCAATATTTATTTCAAATAAAGCTTAATATATTTATTACAGTCAGAAAGTATATGATAGGACACTTGAAGACAATTACAGTAACAAAGTGATCGACAATCATATGATAAACATATCATAACGTCATTTGTTAACCAGAATTTAATAGACTGACCTAAACTATGCCCTTAACCTAACCCTAAACTAACCCTAACCTATAGTCATGTGATATTTTGATGATCACTGGGTTAACGGTTCTTCAATCTACCCGTATATAATTTATTTTACAAGTATTGGGAATATGACGTTTTTTAAATGATTGTAATTAACCTCCAATTTATGCAATAGTTCAAAGTTTCGTTGTTACAATCAAGACACTTGTTATCATTTGGATTCTTTTAACTTTCCTCAATAATTTTTTTTGTCGCATATAACAAGCGAAACAAACATATAATTGTAAAGACATATCTGACAGTACGCCTCGGAGAATTGCAATATTATAACAAATAATAGTAAAGACATGATTTTTAGACATAAATATCTATGATTAAATGCAAATTTAAATATCTACTCTCTGATTTTTAGCAATTATCATTTTCCTTTTTAGTTTTATTGGGTTGATGAATAATAATCGCTGATCGTCAAAAATGAGAGCGAAAGAACTTGCTAATTATTTGAATCGACGTGAAGTTAGCAGACCAAAAAGTTGCTAAGCAGTGGCAATATGTGTCATGGCGATAACCAACACCAGGACCCAGAAAAATATCGATTTTATTTATGGGAATTTCAAATCCTATAAATAAAATCGGTATTTTTTCGGGTCCCTGACTAACACACTCTGTGGTGCTGGGGTTGAGCTTATATCACATGATGTTTTGAATTTTTTGATGCCGATTTACCCCGATCAGGGATGATAATTTATGCTATCAATTATGCATATATGTTTTCTTATTTATGTGAGTATTTTGAACTCTAAATTTAGCAACATCTTGTACATAAAAGCGCAGTCTTATATCTAACCTAGTATAAAAGCCATCTTTTGGAACAGTTCGGAACCTACCTCCAATCTTTTTTCTCGACCTTTCTCGTAATTTGTGTCGATTGATTTCTATTCGGAGCCGCACTTGCCAATTATGCGATAATTACTTGTACGACCATGTTTTATGCAGCAAATATTGGATTTGTCGACCAAATTCGTATTTCAATCAAATTCGTATATTTTGATCTACCATCGATAACTTACGATCTATTTTCAATATTGGTGATTTTGATACTATTAGAATCTTCTCAATGAGACGATTCGAATGGTATCAAAACCATCAAGATTCATTTACTAGATAGAGAGTTATCAACGATAGATCAAAATATACGAAATTGAATTTGGTCGACAAATCTGGTAATAATTACTTATCATTAGAGGTGAAGGAATGTGCTGATTATTTAATGATAATAGGGTACGCCGATATTTAAATAAGTTTTAACTAGGAAATATGTATTAAGTGCATAAGAGAATTTCGATGAATGAACTTTATTTGTGCATTATCACTTAAAAATCTTTATTATTGATTATCATCTACAACAAGTATGCATGTACTCAAAATTTCCGATATGTAATGCGTTTATGGTTGTTATTTCGCGATTATTCTTAACATCATGATAGTTCTGAGGGACGAATATGATAATTATTATACAATATATATAAACGTTTTCTTGCATCATAATTTATGCAAAATGATTATTATAATACTAAGCAGTAATAATAAATTACAAGTATATAAGGAGCTAAAATTTTCAGTATTTTTAATGTAAATTCAAAGAGATTTTTGTCAACATTTGAACTTGCTGATATTAATAAAATGAAACAACGAATTAATTTATTTTTAGTCGCTTTTTTTTCATATTTATTGGCATTTGCTATTTTTGCTGATGCCCATGATTATGAAACTATGGAGTCTGAAAACATTTCACCCTGCTGTAAAGCTCCTGGTTGTTCGGGATGGAAAAACATTATTCATCAATTTGACTATGAAA